GATATTTACTGAAGGTTACAGAAATTTCAACATTCAATCGATGATTTACTCCCGTTTTGAATATGAAAAGAAAAAATCTAAATGCAGGAAAAAAAAAAGGAAAAAATCAATGAAATCAAAAAGAATTTTTTAGCGACGATAATTGAAAGCAACTGTTTCTCTGTAACTATTCAGTGTAGTGTATTAGTTAAAAACAAAACGCTTCGAAAAATTAAAAAAGAAAAACTTCCTGAGGATAACAATTAAACTATTTGGGTGTTCTTTTCTTCCATTTCCTCCGTCCTTCTCGCAAAGAATTTTGAGTGAAATGCTGACGTTCACAAAAATATAAAGTTTGAAAAAAAAGTGTTTAATGTTCACCAATGAAACTGTAATTCATTTTGCAGCTTCAGCTTTTCAAATTTCTGCACGCCACCACCAAATAAACAAACAAATAAAACAAATGAACAAACGTTAACAAACATTGGCGTCTTTCAATAGACAAAAAAAGTGTCTGCAAAAGAAATTCCATTTTCTTTCTCTTTTTCTTCTTCCTGCTCAAAAAAACCAGACAAAAAAATAATAGAAATATGTTGGTGTCCGTGTTATAACCGAAGCAATTAGCTAACCAAACAGTGAAACAGTACAATAAAACAGCTGTATAAGCAAAAAATATGAATCCCTTATGTGTTTACTAAATGTAAAAACTGTTTTTTGAAACGATCTGATCAAACAGTCCCAAAAAACCTCCTTTCCATGTTTAAAGAAGAAAATGGAGTAGTCAAATTACAGGATATCTGCAGCACCTCCTATCAGCACCGGTAATGGCAGTAGAACATCTATGTGGATGGACTTGAAGGAATAATTTTGAGGTGCGCAAAAAAAAAAAGAGCAGAAAGAAGGACGCTTTTTTCATATTCATTAAAATTAAAAGACGAATAAAGTTGTCAGACGGCAAATGAAAGAATAAAAGATGAAGAAGAGAGGGAACAGAACAGTGGCCCTAATTTTGGTCTTAGAAAGTTTTATTGTTGACAAGTCACTGAACTGAAAAAATGACGCCAAAACATAAGAAGAAATCCAGTTGACCGCCGAATTAACTAAAGACACCAAAACAAAAAAATGTTGCTCATTTAGTTCAGTTGCCAGCCACTGATTCGTCTGTCTGCTGAACCATTTAGCCAGTTATTCACTTAGTCAGTGACTATGCAGTATCAACAAAAAATACCATTTAAATCACCCAAACCAGGAAATTTTGTCTGTTCTCCAAATGAACAATCTCCGTCACTGATCCAGCAATCAATAAAATACATAACGCGACAGTCAACAACGACAGATACTGCAAAATAATGCTCTGAGCAGCATGCTGATCAGTTCTAAAATCGCCTATTCCAGTACTCGAGTCTACCTATGTACCCGCCTGCCCGTCATCGGTGTATGTCATCGGCAATGAAACTAAACATCAATTTCTTTGTCTTCTTCATTTTCACCACAAGCAAAAAAATATTGACAAATTAGTGTAACTTAAGGTCATCGAGAAAAAAAACTTGCTTGCAACAAAAATACTATAGTTTTGTGCAGCAAACTTTTTGTTTTTTCTGAACATATCGTTAACTCCTTTTTTTTTTTTTTTGCTTCGCTTTAAAACCCACCGATTAGTTTACCCTCATACCCTTTCTAATGTAAAATAGTCTCCTGGTGCAAAACAAAGATACAGATATAAAAAATGCTATCAATAAATACTGTCTTTTTTCTATTTCTGCTAAAAAACCGCTTAATATAGCAGAAGAAGGTAAAAGCAGACAAGAAGGACTTGTAAAAACGCACACAGAAACAGTCACACACCACCAATTCCTCTTTTCTTTTCAAAAATTCTCTTTTTTCCTTCAGTTTTTCCCAACTCCCTCCCCGGTTCCCTGCTAAAAAACTTTCACTATATTTAGGCCGTATA